TTTTAGTACGTTTGTTCCGTTATGGAACAGGCTAAGGTCGGAGACCATGCTGCCTAGTCTTCAGTGTGATAATTTGTCAGAAATTTAAATTATTCAATGTTAGCAGAAGTTTTTTTTTTTTTAAGATATCTTTACGGCTTTGGATGTTTCCTTTTAGCTCGTGTTTTGATAACAATTAATCTTATTGTAGTTAACATTTTTTATGAAAAGTTAAATTTGAAATAGTAACGAAAATGTTTGTCAGTTTTATGACAGTCTATGAGGGGCTCTATTATCAGCTGTGAATAATGTTAACGACACACGTATGTTAATTGGTAAAATTTCAACTACTTAGTCAATAATCTAAGTATGTCGAAGTGAAGCTTATCCTAATTATACCTACGATGAGTAATATGGAACTAAGAAGTGCCTAGAATAAAGACAGTATCTTTCTAAGGCAACGTGGATGACTTTTGACGTAAATAAATTAAAATAAAATCAATGTTTTTGAACTAGAAGATAAAATTGAAATTTCATTGATAACTGTTAAAAAAAAGATTTCTTTTTGTACAACTTAGAATGGCAAACAAGCTGACGGCGTACCTGATGGAAAGTCGTAACCGTCGCCTATAGATGGTACTGCTCATGCAGTACCATGGACATAACAGAGTATACTGTTTCGCCTATGATGCCCTCCATGCGTTGCCATTCCTAAGAACTCAGATGTTATTCCTCTGTACCCTGTAAATTCACACGATATCCCACCCTTCAAACCGAAACACAGCCATGCAAACACAACTGCTTCACGTTAGAAACACGAATGGGACAGAGGTACCCGAGCAATCGACTTTTGTACAAAGTCTCCCTCTGGTAAAGATATGATAAGGCCATGAAATGGCTTAATATTGTACATCCATTGCGGGTATACTGTATTGTACACCATATTATCTACCCATCAGCCTGTAATTACCACCGTATGCATAATAAAGAATTAATTCATTTAACACCAAATATGTATATTTAATATAAATTTGCTTGGGTACCTCTATCCCATTTGTGTTTCTACCGTAAAGCAGTTCTGTTTGCATGGCTGTGTTTCGGTTTGAAGGGTGATATACGGCGTGAATTTACAGGGTACAGAGGAATAACACCCGAGTCCTCAGGAATGGCAACGCATGGGGTGTATCATGGCCGAAACAGTATACTCTGTTATGTCCATGGTACTGCTCATGTCTATAGGCGATGGTTACCACTTTCCATCAGCTTGTTTGCCATTCTAAGTTGTATAAATATATATATATATATATATATATTTAAATATATATATATATATATATATATATATATATATATATATATATATATATATATATATATATATATTCACATCGATTCAATATGATTTAGATTTACTTCCAGTTCAAATTCGACTGCGTCTAAAGACACGGTTTTTTTGTTCGTATATGTACCTACATATACAGTGGTAGTCGGTCTTGTCAATCGAATCTATCAAAACAACGACACGTGTAAGCAATGCACATGCTCTTCAATTGAACAAACCAGACGTGGGTAGTGCGGTCGTGTATACGAACACGGAGCCGTGTAATTGGCATGTATTAATATCAGTGTTTAATGGAAAAAATTGATTTTCTATTAGTACAAACTACAGTGGACATAACTGATTCATTGCAATATTAGACATTCTGCGTACTGTATACCATATTTAGATAGATAGATAACCTTTATTACCAATATTAAGAAAATAAAAAATTAAAACAACAAAAAGAAAAAAAAACAATTAATATTGCTGGTTGCTGGAGTCGCCTCAGCTGCTGCTATATATGTGCAGCTCCAGCGAGATGTACCTATATAGCGCTGATTTTCAGACGGCCCCTTAACTCCTTTATCTTTAGCATGCGTGCGGGTCGCCAATACCTATTTCCCGGATGGGAGACTCGACACGCTTAACAACAAATACATAAAACATTACAATAAATACATAAAACATTACAACAAATACACAAAACATTACAACAAATATATAAAACATTACAACAAATACACAAAACATTACAACAAATACACAAAACATTACAACAAATACACAAAACATTACAACAAATACACAAAACATTACAACAAATACATAAAACATTACAACCAAAACTGAAAAGAACAAACTCTGAATAAATTATCGCACCTCACAATAACAGCATCGTAAAAAAATTAAAAAAAAAGAACGTGAAGCGTCAGTTTCTCAACTGTTTAAATTTAAACTACATTTGTTGGTGTCATTTTCAATCGACTTCGAAGAAGGAGGAAGTTGAATTATTTTATATTTGTTACCCGTCATTTATAAGCCAAATTAAAAAAAAAACTTTTTTTTTATTTGAACCTAGCGACCCGCCCCGGCTTCGCACGGCTGCACATTGTATGCATCACATTAGAAACCACTAAAATTATCAGTGTTTCTCTACAATATTATGCATATAAACATCCCTCTTGAATCACTCCAGAAGGAGACTTTGTACAAAAGTCGATTGCTTGGGTACCTCTGGTATATAAATATGTGTAGTTTGTATTATTCTTTGTGTATACATGTCTTATGTGTTTATACAATGTATGCAAATCGTATGACTGCCTATTTTTATTTTAAAAATAACATACAATTTACATGAAAAGGTTTCTCTGAAAAGAAATCTCTTATTAGATAAGCTCGCCTTTGTACATTATGTTTCGAATGAATTGAACATTATATTTTGTGTACAATAAAGAAAAAAGAATTAAATGTGAAAGTGAGTTTACTTGTTTGTTTATTACCTTAAAGCGCTTTAACGGCTTAACCAATCACTGTAAAATTTGATATATATGATGTACTATATGGGATGGGAAAAGATATAGGCTACTTTTTATACCAATCAGAAAAACATATGCCGGCCATGCGAACGAAGTCGCACGTAAAAGCTAATACGTATATGCTATAGTAGGTATGAAATTATGGACACTTATTTATTTAATTCTTTATTACACCATAAACAAAAATATACAATGACAAGTGAATAATTCAAGTGAAATACAGTAACGTAAATACAGATTGAAATACACACATAAAGGTACAAAAGGCGGTCTTATCGCTAGGGCGATCTCTTACAGACAACTTTTGGTTAAAGGAGAACAGATACTTGTCATTTTTTAACGCGTATGTCTTTAGAAAAAATAAGTTTCACTAGTAATTAATACCTTAAATGGATGTTCTGTATGTACAGAGCCAATGGAATAAATAAAACAGAAATCGGACATTCGACCTGCAAATATGTTTGCCGTCTTTAATTACTTTCAAGACCATTTTCGCCTCATATTGAGATGTGTTTGAATCATTGCAACCGTTTCGTTCCAACGAACGTAAAAGCTTTTATGGCGAGTACAGGTTCAAACATGGCGAATATCGTGTACATTATGACCGTAATGGTTAACAAACAAGTTTTTCACAACCACATTAAGTGACAACACCATATATGTAAACTAATTAACATCAAAAATACATATTAAAACATTTTTTGCTTTAAAATTACAAAAACATATCACGCTGTTAGTAAACTCGGATAATGTAAGTGTGTATAAAAATGACATAATTATTTGAAATTTCTACAATACTTACAATGATTAATACTGACATCATTATAAATTTCAGAACACTATACTAGTGGGTATACCTTATATGGGTATAGAGGAACAACACCTGAGTCCTCGGGAATGGCAACGCATGGGGGGTATCATGGGCGAAACAGTATACTCTGTTATGTCCATGGTACTGTTCATGTCTATAGGCGACGGTTACCACTTTCCATCAGGTGGGCCGTCAGCTTGTTTGCCATTCTGAGTTATATAAAAAAAAAAAACCAATAATAAATCAAAATGATCCAAGTGGCGGCGGTTGGTTTAAAAAAAGGAAGTAGTTCTTAAATCGAGTGTATTTTTTGGTGCATAACTACGCAGTATCTTAACAAATTGTAAAACGATCTTGGTAAGGTTTTAATATAAAAAAGACGTATTTATTAGTATTAATTTCACATTAATTATTGTTATATCGACGCCGGATTGTTTCTTTGGACAGAGTGTTTTACAATAAATTTCCTGAATAGAGTGGACGTCGGCAATAGAAAACTAAAAAGATCGTCAATAGGTAGATGGCCATATAATATAGTAAAAGTAGACAATAATTGCGAACCCAATCGATCGTCTGGCCTCGTTTTGACAATTTTCAACTGTGACTCATTTATGTAATTCGTCGTATCAATATTTTAATTGCTCGAACGACACGCAGCCTTGGGCACGTTCGTCTTCGTTCGCAGCCATATGCGCTAGCTCTTATTGTTACTAATTATTATGTATTCACAACACTGACATTGGTCCTCTTGACACCAATTAAAATCGATATTTTCAACCTTCAGTTTCTTTATTTTTAGACTTTCTTTTTAAATCACATTTGTATGCTCACTTAATTTTATATTTACCAATATTTTAACCTTTTCTGCGCCATAGGTATATGCTAGCAATGAAGGACAAGTTTGACATGTAGAATGCTGCTTTAAAAGGGTGTGATTTCGATTCCAATTTGTTATAGTTATTATTTAATTTTTTTTTTTGTAATTTTATTTAAATTAAAAAAAAATGTATTCACATTGCTAAAAGTACAAAATAAGTAATCATAACTATTCACAAAATTTTTTTTTCTTGTTGGAACAAACTTTTCTATTTAAATAAAAAATCATTGATTATTCCTTTGTGTAAATAGACAGATAGATAGATAGATAGATACTCTTTATTGTTTCTTCCAAAAGATTACAACAGTAAACTTATGCTAGATATAAACATATACAAGAAATAATCACAATGAGAAAACAATGGGCGACATTATCGCTAAAGCGATCTCTTCCAGGCAACCTTTGGATGTGTATATAAGTTATTACTTATATGTTTAGGCCTGCTTACAATTCAAATATTTCTTTTGTTTGTTACAGTATGTCTGAGGGGGATGTGTCGTTGATACACGACGAGGACGTGTTGCGGCGTATGGTGAGTCATCTCCGTCATACTAACGCCTGTTAAAAATCTATCAGCAATAATGTACAAATTCATAATTTTGATCAGTGTAAAGCTTTTTTTTAATGGGTGAAGGTAGAATGATAACCTCGCCTGCGCTGTCGGTATACGCTGGTGGGGTACCAGTGAAGGATGACAAGTGAGGATGAAGGTAGATCAATTGGCCCAAAGTGACCAATTGGACAATAATTAACCATGATGTTTTCCAGGGGGAACCGCGTGGAGGTCGATCTGATAGTGTGTATTGCTAGCAATGAGACTGCTAGTCCGCATTACTAACAACCCTTCCCCCCAGTACTACCTATTGTTATACGTTATTGTATTGTATTTATGTATTTGTTTTTTTTTTATATATTTATATAATACAAAATGAGTTTTTACCCCCAACTTTGTCTGACCAGGATCAAAAATGACCTATGTTCGTTCTATGTTACAAATATATTATTGCTTGAGCTACTGTTGCGTCGATTAAGGTGCAGTGCAGGTACATAGCATATCATGTTATGTCATATCTTATCACATTACCTTATTATCCGTTTACAGTGGCAGCAAACGGAGGATTTTTCCCGCAAGAAAGAGATCCGCGCACACATGTACCGGCTGCGGGAGGAGCGCCTGCGCAACCTCTACTCACCGGAGCCCCCGCACGCTCGCGCCGACACCAAAGGTAAATAAATTATAATTTTAATATTGGGAGTTGATTGTAACAGGCCACTTAGTATAATGTACCTATTTTTTTTTTATTGGACGAAAATGGAGTGGTAACCCCGCCTGCGCTAATGGGATACGCTGGCGGGGCACCAGTGAAGGGTGATCGATGAGGATGAAAACAGGCCAGTTAGCCCATCATGATGTATTCATCAGGAATTAATCATGATAGTTTCCAGGGGGAACCGCGAGGAGGTCGACCTGGTTGAATATATTGCTAGCAATGGGATTCTCAGTCTCCATTACCAACAATCCCTTTTCCCCCATAATGTACCTATTAATTATATATTAGTAATCGAGTTGTTTAACTTATACCTAAAAATTACAATTGAATTCCTTAGTTTAGTAAACCTATTATGGTTAGAGCACCGAGAATTAAATGTAAAACAGTTCTGAAGCAATTATGCTAAAAATTTACTCCATTATTTATAAATACGTCAAACTTTCAATAAACTTTACTACCTATTTTTGCTTTTAAACTGTTTTGTCTCTTTCTTTTGTGCTAAATTCTCAGTTTGAATGAAAGTGACAAGATAGTGTAATAGTTAAAATAGGTCTGTAGAAGATTTTAGTTGTTATAAAGTTAATTTATACCGGTTCTTAATATAATTATTTATTGGTAAAATCAAAATGAATTTTTAATTTTAGATGTAAAGATAAAAAATTGTAACTCCAATATTATATATATATATATATATATATATATATATATATATATATATATATATATATATATATATATATATATATATATATATATATATATACTTATCTCTGACAGAGATCTCTTCCAGTCAACCCAGTACAGTGAGAAAGCATGTCGTTAGCGGGCAGCTGAAGTGCTACAACTATTAATACATAAACAAATACACAGTTAAATAAAATATTAAAATATATAATAAAATATTACATAAATACATACACTATAAATATATACAATACCCTACCTACTTATATAATATATGTTAAAATAAATTAATATACTACTTACATTAGAAATTTCGTTTAATGAAACGTAGTTTATGTGGACATATTTATTTCGTGAAAAAATCTTATTTAGTTCATATTATAACTTATAAAATACGAAGCCTCGTAACTCAGTTCTTTTAATACAAAACGTTGAGAGATCTCTATATAAAGCAATTTTATCTTTGGCTGTTAAATTGATTACACAGGTTACACTCTGGGTTTGATGTACGCGTCCGTGTAGCCTCACTTCAAAGGCTGCAGCTGAAAATCAGTGCTTTGCTTTTAAGCAAAACTATCACTGAGCTGTAGCCCATTTGGGTCACTGCGACACACATAGCGAAAACATATTTTCGTATTTTATCCTTTGTTTTTTATTTAAAAAATAATAGATAATTTGATTCTATAAACTCATTTGTAAATTTACGTGTGTCATAAATGGCTTAAATAAAAAGTTTATCTATCTATCTATCTCATGTAGAACCAAGTTTGTTATTTTTGTTAGTGTCCATGGAAGCATCCATTTAACATATTTGTTATAAATTCTTATTTAAACGATTGTTTATCAACGTGCCATAACAATGACCGTATCAATGTTAGACATTTTTATTTTTATAATAATTATAATGATTTAATTAAATGTCCTGATATTTTAATATTAGGCATACAACATTTATTAGTCTAGTATTTCGGAGCGTCCATTAATTATATTTATTAAAATTATGACCTTTTAATAAAGAATGCAAAAATACTACGAAATTGTTTCAGTGGCTAAAATAAACCTAAATGAAAATCTTACATCAACTTTTTTTATTTATTTATTTATTTATAAATAAATAAATAAATAAAATTTTCCCTCTTATTTATTATTAACTCATAGAAGACATCAGTACGTGATTAGTTGTTTATTGAAATTAAGCAAAATACATTAATATATCGTATAAATTTATTTAAAAACCCACGAGTAAATCTCACAGCAGGAGGTCTGAATTAAAGACAAACCTCGTGCAATTAACGATGATCCCTTTTGTAGTAAATTTTGAGAGCCCTGCAGCCTTACAGTGAACCGTATCGCTTTTAAAAGAAATTTCAAAATTACCTCGATTATTGATTATTAAACTACATAATAATTTACAGAATGTGTGAGTCAATTTTAAATGTACATAATAACTACATAATGAGATGTTTAACGTTATATGTAGTACAATAATACAATTAAATATCACAGAACAACTACGATACCTAATTAATATTTAATATTTAGCGTTATAAAATAACATAACAAGTGTTAAAAGTCTGTTATAATCTTTCTATGTTTAAACTTAAATTAAAATAGATAATAATAAGTTTAAATATTTTTTATGAAAGGTGTCTACTTGGGTACCTCTGCTCCATTCGTGTTTCTGCCGTAAAGTCGTATTATATTTGCTTGGCTGAGTTTCGGTTTGAAGGGTGGGTATATCCCACCTGAAATTAAATGAATAAAATTACAGGATACAAAGCCAGGCCTTAGTCCAAAGGATGAAGGGTATCATGGTCGACACAGTATATTATGTACATGGTACTGTTCATGTCTATAGGCGATGGTTAGCAATTTTCATCAGGTGGGTCGTCAGCTTGTTTGCCATTCTAAGTTACATTCAGAGATTAGGGAATGAAATATAAACATTTCTAGTAGTTTTTTTTTTTAATATTTATAAATATAAAATACTATGACAGAATTAGTTTTGAATTAACGGCTGTAATTGTTGTTACAATATGTTTTCCAATATAGTATTATATATTTATGATTTGAGTATTAGAGTATTTAAGCCAAGCCATTAGAGTAGTTGTGCACGAATTTGACAGGTTGTGAGTTCACATCGCCGCAGGGGCATGTCAAGTCCTTCGCGGACCAGACCTTCCAGTCGATGAAGAGTAAGGAGGTGCGCGACGCGGGCTCCCCGCCCAAGGAGTTCACGTACCACGGCCAAGGTGCCCACCCAACACTACGTCCGTATAATCCTAACAGAACTAACGCTTATTAACTGGTAACACTTACTGATTAACCAGTACGTTTTATTTCACCAGATTAATCTCTTTTCCAGATCTCAAAGCGCTCTCTAACGCCGGTTGGAACGTAGAGTCTGAGAACAAGAAGACCGACGATGGCCACACTCACGTTAAGTCCGTCAACGCCAACATCGAAGGAAGGTACGACGTGGAAGGCGGGAAAGGGCATTTCGCCGCCATAGACCAGCACAAGCAAGCAGTCACCGAGTACCACGACGACAACACCAGTCTCAAGAGGAATGAAAGTTCCTCAAACACGGCTGCTCGCGAGCACGTGGTACGGCAGACCGACGACGGCACTCAGGTCTCGTCGGTAACGAGTTCCTCGACCTCCACGTCCAAATACCAACAAATGTCGTCCACGAAACACGAAACAGTGCCATATTTAAGCAACGATGACTATGACCAATCTCAACAAACTTCTTACGATACTAACCGTAATGAACAATTCACTGCTAAAAGACAAGTTACACAGAGTAACGATTATGAGCATAGCTTGAGAAAAACTGATTTTGAAACTGGAGAATTAGAATCCAGGAAAGTAGAATATCCTGATGAGAATACGAGAATTGTGGTAGAAACAAGATGCTTACCAGACGGTACTAGGGTCACGAGCACTCGTCGAGAATTTAGAGCGCCAGTGGTGCAGAGTTCTCGATCAGAACAACACTCTCAGCAAACTAGAAGTGAAAATAAGTCCTCATACTCTACTTCATCGCAACAAAGATCTGATTTCAAAGAGTCGTCCTCTAAAGTTATTCAAGAAAATTTTGATAATCGCGTTACCGATATTGTTGATTCTCAAAGATATGTTGATGACAACGATTTCAAAAGAAATCATCAGACTGATTATTCACAAACTGAAAAAGATCATACTGATCGCTTTTCTAAATCTACCGAAAGACATACTGAACATCGATATCACGAATCTACAGATCATGAGCCTATATTGCATGAAACTTTTACGTCACAAAATAGACAGAATGTAAACCAACATGATGTTCACGAAACGCAATATATTAATAAAGACAGAGAAGAAAGAGTTCATGATATATCTACGGAAAACAAAGTTGAAGAAACCACACAGAAAAAGATCAGCAATGACCAGTACCAAACAACTTATCAAACCGAATTTACACAAAAAAATAGAGTAAGTAATGATTGGAGTCCAACTCATCAAGCTTGGGCTAGCACTCTTCGAGCTGATACGCCAACATCAACTCGTCCATCAACTAGAGCTTCATCTCCTGGTGGTCGGACTTTCCAATCAAGCACTTCTTCACTAAGAAGTAGCGTAAGTCCAGATAAAACATACAGAAAACCATCCAGCCGTGGTGGAAGTCCAAACAAAATTGACAGATATTCACCAACACGCAGCATGTCTGATAAATATTCTAGCACCCATTCCACTTATTCTGTTACTGATACAAAGACGAACAGATATACCAGCTCAGAAGAACGTACGCTAACTTTAACTACAAATTCTGATCAAAAACGTAATGATGAACGTCGTCAAAGACCAAGTATCAGTCCTGATAAACGCCCACGGGAGAATTATAGATCAAGTGAGAGTCCCGATAGAAAACCTACATATAGAACTAGTCCTATGAAGGAAATATCTAGAATGAGTCCTAATTTACAACCTAAACATCAAGAAGGTCCACACAGACCTAGCACAAGTCCTGATAGAAAGCCTGTCAATAATACTACAAATAATATTGCCCCGAAAAAACCACAGAGATCAAATATAAGCCCTGAAAAGAAACCAAAAAATGATTGTGACAATATTTCAAAGGCAAGCTCTCCAACAAAACCATTACCTAAAGATGATATCCCGTTAAGATCTAGTCAAAGCCCTAATAGAAAACCTGGTTATCAAATACATGATACAGATAGAGATTCTAAAAACAAAATATTAAACGAAGAAAAAACAAAAGAAAATTACCCCAGTACAACATCACCAAAGCGACCTTCAACGCAACATGAAAATGCTAAAAGACCAAGTTTAAGTCCTGAGAAAATTCCTAGTGATTATAAAAGAACAAGTTCTCCTCGACGATCTGTGGGCAGCCCTGAAAAAGAGATATCTCCGACCAGATCTCATTCTGTAAGACCAAGTTCAAGCCCCGAAAGAAAACCTGTTTTGCCAAGTAATACAAATTATGCAAAACCTGCAGATGACAAAGAACTAATTTCCCCGACAAGAGGAAGTATTAGTCCCGATAGAAGACCAGGTTATATGAAACCAACTGCTGTCTCACAACGTTCCTCAAATATTCCGGAATACTCTCCCAACCGACAACTTATTGCTCAGAGCCCGGAAAGCAACGTTACCGAAAGAACTGTAAGTAAAATTAAAGAAGATCACTATAAGTTTGTAGATGAAGAAACTAAAGTATACGACTATACTAAATCTGATACAAGGGATACAACAAAACAAACTATCTCAACTCCAAAGTACCCTGGTATTCACGAAAAAAGCCAATCGCCATCTATGAAATTACCTCAAGATGTACCCGACTTCTGTCATTCTGACTCGCCTCCCCGTTCAACACTACGGAAAGATTCCAGGTCTCCGTCACCATCTAAAGGTTCAGTTACATTTAAACATTTAGATAATGTTAAAACAACAGGTAAAATATCATCTATAACTAACATTTCAACAGATATGAATGAAAACATTGATGTAACAGAATACGAAGTAAAAAAACATAAAGATATTTCAACGCCCACCAAAAACAATATTCCTAGAGAATCATCTCCATCGAAATTTGGAACATATGATAAAAAGCAACGTCATTTTCAAGACAATCAAGAGACGAAAGTAATAACTAGCAAAGATACAAAATATGATTCCCTAACACGTCGGGAAAAATCTACCTCACCTAAAAAAGACCATGATTCTCTTACGTCCACTCATAGAAAAACACCAAGTGTTTCTCCTGTCAAGTCTGTTAGTAAAGACAGCAAGTATAATCAGACGATTGATCTTATTTCAACAGAAAAAACCAGAGAAGAAATTAATAGAACCAATAAAGGCCATACGAGACAATTAGTAACACCGTCTACTAGTCCTACTAGGAAACCTAAAACTTCTGAACCAGAACCTTCTACAGGACAAAGTTCGCCTACTACTTCAGTTAGTGGATTTGTTTACTTTAGCAGTCCCCGAATCGATAATACTATTGTGACAGATCTAGATGATCAGCAGTTCTGTTTAGAAACAGATGAAATTGACGAGGTGACAACATCCAAAAGACCAGAAACCCTGGATGTAAATACAAAACGTTCTCCATCACCATCTAAAATACCATGTAGGTCACCAGCTCAAGAAAAACATACATCGCCTACAAGAGATAATCTTCCAAGAAAAAGTTCATTGAAAAAGCCTACATTGAATAATAATTTAATTTCACCTGTTGAGAAACCACCTTCTAGTTTCCAAGTATCACCTACGGTTGAAACACAGGACTTACCTGAACATAAAATAATAAAAAAGGACCATCCAGAAAAGCCTGACTCTGATTCATCGATAAAATCAAAACCTCCACTGAAAAGACGAGAAACTTACGATGAACGATGCCGAAAAATACTTGGCATGGTAGAAGATCAACCAACATCGGTTACAACTATTACAAAAGAAACATTACAAACACTAGGATCTAACAAAAGTTCACCCAGTGTATCACCTTGCGGTAGTCCAAAACAAGAATCTCCATACAGAGAAGTTAGAGAAGAAACGAAAAATAATAATATCAATGTATCTGAATTTATAACTCAAGAACGGGAAAATAATATAAAAACTCGTTATAATGATACAGTTCCCGGAAAGAAATCTAAGATTCCTTCAAGGGAGAGTTCTCCTACTAAGGTTCAAGGTATAACATTGCAAACTAATACTACAACTACATTCGAAGAAACTTGTAGGAAAGTCGATGAAAATATTACTACAGAAATTAATAATGAATATTCAATAACCAAACATAATATACAACCAAAACCTGAATCAAATTTGCAATCTACTTCTCCGTCTTACGAAAAACATCAAATCGAAGGCCATCCTAAGAATGAATTTTTATCAAAACCGAGCCAAATTTCCAGCAAGAAACCAGAAAGTCGACAGCAAACACCTCCAAATCGTTCACGGACAAGCTCTCCCACAAAAATCCTGAAAGAAAATCAAGACATAAAACCAACAAACACACCTGATCGTAAGCAACCACTTACTATAGATATTAATGACATTCCTAAAAGCACCGCTTTAAAAGAAAAATCTACGCACGATGAACCCAAATTGGACGTTATATCTTCAAAAATAACTGACAAAAATGACACTATATATACAACACAAGAAAACACTGAAATGAAATCCAATAAAATTTGTACCACAAAATCATCAATAAGTCCTACCCAAAAGGTATCTTCTACTAAACAGTCTAGTACTGATTTAACAAATCAGTTTACTTCTACAAAGCAACCACTAGAATCTAAACATTCCCGAACCCCTTCCCCTTCCAAAACAAATTACTCTAATATTACTGAAAACAATACAAGTTTCATTACATCCGAGAGAGAACAAGAAATATTAAATAGAGTTCAGCAATCCCTTAGAAAATTGTCACCAAAACGAAATGAAAGATCGCCGAGTCGAGAAAAGAGTCCATCTAAAACAACTACTAGTTTACAAGATTTAGAGATCTCAACTGTGTCTCTTAAGACTAGTACTGAAAACATTAATGAAGAAGACAATAAAAATTATTTAGTTTGTGCAGTGAAATCGACTAAAAAAGACGATAAACTTAAAGATCAAAAAATATCTAGCAAACCTCCTTCAAGAAATATTTCTCCTGCAAAAAAACCTACAAATATTGCTACTCCAACTAAAACAAGAAAATCTTCTGATTCTCCAACTAAATCTAGAAGCATATCACCTAAAAAGTCTGTTAGCACTGAAAGACCTCAATCACCACAATTATCTAAAGTAAGTGGCATCAAACCAAGGGAGACTATTCCTTCCCATTTGACTCGAAAACCCACACCCGGATCCTTATCGCCAACTAAATTAGAAAAAACAACAACTACGGATATTAAAAAAAATATAAAACAGAATAGTTTTTCTAAAACTACGTCCAAAATAACATCAAATAAACTTGTTCAATCGGCAACAAATAAATCTGTTGAACTCGAAACAAGACCTACAACTAAAACAAATAAGGAAAATACTAGCCCTAAGACGGATATTAATGTCCCCGTAACAAGGAGTCCAAGTGACGTTTCTTTAAAATATAAGAGGCCTTCGCCGCAAAGGGTAAAATCTAAACCAGAAATTCAAATAAATGATATTTCGACCTCCAAAACTAAACAAATAAATTTAACTGCCAATAAAATTCAAAAATCATCACCTAAGGAAGTGCATCCAAAATTACCGAATAAACCTAAATCTGCCACAGCATTAAATACAGTTATGGATGACGACGATATTATTATTGATGTTCAACAAGCCAAATCATCTAGAGAAAATTCTCCAGATAGAATTTGTCCCACCCCAATTGGTTTTAATGAAGATATTGGCACACCAAGGTTCCCTGATGAAGTAAGTGAGCCGGATGACGATTTCCGTAAAAGAACTCATCATACAATCCATGAAACGGAATCAATTGTAGATGACATCGTCGAAATATCTGAAGATGATGAGCTGTTCGCGAAAAGAACAAACGATAATACCATTATTGAAACTGACGAATGTCATTTAAGTGTTAATGATAAAGTTTCCAAATTCACAAATAAAATAGAAAGTGTAACTAAAACCAAACAATCAACAAATCAGTTTAAAGACACTGAACGTAAAGTCCATTCAGACTATATCTCTGAGGAGTTTGGATCAGATGACTGCTTACTTTCTGTTTCCGAAAAAGTAAACAAATTTGCTAAGGGTCCGGAAAGTACAAAAGATAATAGAAGTCCAACACGTAAAATTGTAGATGAATATGATACAAACACAACTTATCAAGATGATTACACTAAACTTAGTGTCAATGACAAAGCTCACTTATTCGTAGAAACAGCTGAATATGCTAAAACACCTAAAATTAAATCATCATACAAAATTGAGAGACCAGATATGAGTGATGTTGACGAATCATTAAAACGTGATGATTGTTTACTCAGTGTGTCCGATAAAGTAAATAAGTTTGTAAAAACAGCTGAACAATTTTTAAATGAAACAACAGAAGTAGAAGAAAAAGAAAGAAAAATTAAAGAAGAACACGACAAAATCATGAAAAAAATTACTAATGAAGTGTATGATTCAGATATCAATAAAATTGACATCAGTAAAACAAATGAAACTATCACACTTAAGAAAGATAATGACCACGTAAATAAATTGGGATCCTTTTCAAAAGAAACTGTGTCTTCACAAGCAAAACTAAAAGACCATGTTAGCAGTAACCTAAAACCAACTGAAAAAACACCTCCTGTAAAAATAACAATGCGTAGCAATGTAGCTGTAAAAAAAGCGAAGGCTTTGTTTGAAAATATAGCATCAACAAATCAGAAAAATACTGATATTACACATTCAAAAACAACTAAATTAACCGATATCGGTGTAATTAAAAAATCTCCAAAAACTGATTCAACAATAGTTCTTCATCCTTCTTTACAGAACTCGCCTAATATTACTGACATTGATAGTGAAATAGATGGCACACCTCAGATACAACAGGAACCAAAAGATCATTTATTCAGAAATACATCCCCACAATTCTCAAATAAAGAACAAAATCCTAATCTTTTACGAACTCAATCACCTGAAGTATCAAGAAATAAATCACCAGCACGACAAATATTGGAAACAACTACTAAAACAGTTTCTTCAAAATATCCACCTAAAGAAGAATACATAGCATCAGAAAAAGAAAAATCTGAAAAACCTCAAGATAAAATCCCAGGTTACCTAAGACCTACGAAAACGAGCCAGTATAAGGAAGAAGTGAAAGTTATTGATGAAACAGAAGTTAGTAGCCGACGCGGCAGTGGAAAGTTTGGAGTAGAACTTAGACGTACTAGCATGGAACGATCTAGTGCAAGCAGCGAACGACGTCGCAGCGTTGATCACCATCAGCCGTGTATCGAAGACATCTTTGATCTGGACCTCCTTGAACAAATGGTCAGTAGAAATAAAATTTTTATGCTTGTCAATATAGTGTTTGCTATCTCAATGATTTATTTGTTCTTTTACTGACTCGAATTTTCGAATTTTCAGTTGGAAAAGGTCGTGGGTTATGAACAGCGGCGACGCATTAGAGCACAAATCCGAATTGCTAAGAAAAAATTAGAAACTGACATGAATATGAAGACATCTAAGCAAGTAATAACAAATATCTCAAAAAATAAATCTCCTGATCGACAAATAACATTACCTGACGTTAAGCCAAAGTCTACATCACAGAGAATACTGTCACCTGAACGACATATAAAAACAGAAACAGTTATTGAAAATAAATCTAAAGAATCTCATCTCTTGGTTGTAAATGACTATTCTAAGGAACAAACTAAAACTGAAAAACACTCGCGTCCCCAGAGCCCTGAAAAAAATGTGACGAAACCAATCTCCAAAGCAAGAAGTCCTATGCGTCAGGCAAGTCCAGAAAAGAAATCAAGACCACTATCTCCTAGTAAAACAACTACACCAAAAACTAAACAGAACCGCTTCAATGAATATGCATCCGCTTATATGAAGAAAGTGGGCTTAAAAGATTCTGATAAAACAAAGGTAACAGATATCAAAACTAAAAAAGCTACTGAAACAAGTGACCATAAAATTTCAAATCATGAAGAACATTTAACAAAATCTTTCGAAACTAGAGAGGTGAAAACGATAAAGTCTCAAGACACCATTAAAAGAACTAGTTCCAAAGATACTATAGAAATAGTTCATACAAATGGTAAGCGGACACCTTCTCCAGAGAAAAAACGGAGTCCTGAACGAATAATAGAGATTCAAATTGAGAAAGAACCACGTCGCTCTCCGAGTCCTGTTATAAAAAGACAGAAATCTGATGTCAATAAGAATGAGACAACAGTAAAACAAATGCCTGATATAGGAAAGAAGATTCAACCGAAGCAAACTCAAGAGGAGAAACCGTCGTGGGTGACGAATCGTAATTTAAAAAAAGTTACAGAAACACGAACGTACGGTACGAAAAAGTTGGAACCTGAAAAGCCAAAGTACCGAGCGCCGAGTCCTTCCAAAGTGATCTCGAAGCCCACAGACGTAATCACGTCGAGCTACGGGCCGGGTCCGCTTGACGCCAACGGTAAACCACTATTCGGGATCAAGGCATTGAGGAATGGAGCCACTAATTACCAAGGTACTTATTTATTATCAAAGTAAAACATGAGTCACGATATTATTTGCGTACTATTTATTCAGCTGCAACCACGGTGATCACAATACTTGGTTTTCATTTGCTTACTTATTTAACATTGAGATCGACGTTTATGAATTAGTTAAATTACATAAAATATACTCTGAACTTATTTGAAAGTACAATTACAAATGGCTGTGCCATTGTTAAAAACCTTTACAAATATTTCTCCAAACAATAAAAAATGTATCTATCTACCTATATACTAATTCTAAACAATCAATGACTCAGTGGGCACGTCCATTATTGCAGTGAAAGGCACGGTGATCCGTCAAGAGTTCCACTCGCGGAACGGCGGCGAGCCGGAGGGTACGGTGTCGGTGACAGCGTACTCCAACGAGCCGGAGGAGCTGGAGCGGCTGCTGCAGGCGCAGGGCGAGCGACCCTCGCGGATGCACGGCCTCGCCGCCATCACCACTACCAAGAAGTTCGGCGGCGACACTGGCACCACCATGCGGGAAGCGCATACTGTAAGTGCTCCATTTATTACTATTTAATTAAAAGCACTTTTTTTTACAAAGACAAAAATTACAAACACAAGATATAATGGCCTATTTGGGTCACTGCGACACACTTGGTGAAAACATACTTCCATACTTTATCTTTTGTTTTATATTTGAAAAAAGTGTAAATAATCTGATTGTATAAACTCATTTGTTAATTTACGTGTGTCATAAATGGCTCAAATAAAGTGTTTATCTATCTATCTATCTATCAATGGGCCCCGCACTAGGCAAACCTGTATGTAAACCTGTAAACCTGGCACCCGACAAAGATTAACAATTCACAATCTGTTATAATAAAAATTACATAGTAAGCGGATATTAATATAAAAGATATATAAAAAAAATACGTGTGCATGGCTGTGTTTCGGTTTGAAGGGTGGGATATGGCGTGAATTTACAGGGTACAGAGGAATAACACCTGAGTCCTCAGGAATGGCAACGCAAGGGGGGTACCATGGGCGAATCAGTATACTCTTTTATGTCCATGGTACTGCTCATGTCTATAGGCGACGGTTACCACTTTCCATCAGGTAAGCCGTTAGCTTGTTTGCCATTCTAAGTTGTATAAAAAAAAATGTGTTTTATATAGTTATAATTAAACATTATAAGTAGACGTTATGTGCTACATTATCTCTGTCTAAACACACAAAAACAACTGTTAGACAATATAAATGAATTAAAATTTGTGTTCGAGAAGAAAAATCCAAAAATATAAAAACCCGATCAAATCGTCTGTATAATCAAGGTCGTAACAGACGCGATATTAATAACAGACACCCGTAACCTGTACTAGTATTATAAATATGAAAGTAAGTTTGTTTATTGCTTTATAACTCTTAATCAATCATTATGAAATTTCGTATACAACTATTATATGAAATGAAGAAGGAGTTAGGCTACATTTTTATCCTGGTGAGCAAATATGCGAACTAAGGTCATGCCAACGATGTAGGAGCACATAAATAAGCACGCCTATGACTTAATTTACTACTATTTATAACTCTACAAATTATGTAATGATTCTGCATTCAGTTAAATAATCAATTAGTATTGAATAAAACAAATTAAATATTTAATATATAAAACATTAAATAAACTAAAAATAATTAGTTTTTTGTAATGATTTATTTCAACTGATAATAATGATGACGATACAGCCGTTAACTGACTTGGGGGAGTTTTGCCAATAGTTGCCATGCTTGGCAGGCAAATTGGCAACTGCAGTTTGGCTTTAGTAATGTTTCAATAGGGACGCGGCTGCTGATTCCTCGACAATTAAATTTCCTTACTAAAAATAAACTGTCTGATGATAATGTAATCAATTTTTTTTTATTAATACGTTGTTTTTTTTTTTATGCAGAAAGAAGAACGTGCAGCCTTAGAGCAATTCACACATTCCGATCGTCGCGTGACCAACAAAGTGGAAAATGTAATGAGCGGCAGTTTTGATAAACGGGAAAATAGCTTTGCAGAATCCAAGAAGATAGAGGACAGGTCAGAGGACAGGTGGAAGAGGACTGAGGACAGACAGCAGAAAACTCAAGAGAAGCAGGAGAGATCTAATGATAGAAGGCAGAGGATAGAGAGGAGGGAAGACAAAAAGACCGTGCGCCAGAGCTCCGTTAAATCTCTTACCGAAAAATATATAAAGAGTGCAAGTAAGTCGTTTAATTAGTTAGTTAATAATTTTAATGAAATCGTATCGTAATCAATTACAAATGCATCATATGCTCAATTATCCAATAAAATGGGAAAGAGGTATGATACTCGTAAAATCTCATCAATCTGGCATAAGTCTCCCTTCAACTTTTTGTTGATCATTTTCTTTACTGAAGTAAATTAATAGCAAAATACTAGAGACTCAAAGATACATATTAAAAAAAAGTTATTTAAAATCTCGCAATTAAACGTAACATAAAGGATAAGGCGTGGGGGGAGAGAGTAAAAAATATAACCCAATTGAATTATAAGTTCGCTAAAATTCTACTGACTTAAGGATCCTACCATGTCTCCATTTAGAGCTAGTAACCGGGAGCAGGTCTGCTTAGGGAGAAGGGATTGCTAGCAATAGGGTCTAGCGGTCTCATTTCTAGCAATATAAAGTATATTGTCAGGTCGACATCCACCAGAGTTACCATATCATTTTCAAGCCATTGAAAAACACGTGTGCCTAGTAACCGGTAACCGGTAACCGGTAACCGGTAACCGGTAAAGGCGGCTAACTGTTCGCTAATCTTTCTAGCGTGAGTGGACACAATTTGTACTTACATAACAACTTTCATAACACATGCACCACGAGTTCAACTTTTCAGTCGACGATTGAATTTATAGTGAGCCACTACATTAATATAAAGTGATTGTACTTTCTTTAATGTTCAATAATTCTTAAAAAAAATTGACTGTGTGATTGGTTTCATGATAAAACCAGAAATAATGAGAGGTAATATTTTAAACTTTAGTAAGAATTTAAATTTTAATTAATAGAACCCCCTCTATATTTGAGTACAGAATGAAAATTGATTTGATTTTATAACGTTTAGCTGCCTTTTTGAATTTTTTATTTTTTATTTTATTTTATACATAAATCACAGCTCTTAAAAAATAACTTTCATGCTAAGTCTCTTATGAATACAGCCAATAACGGATTTTATTTATACAAACAAAAATTTTGATTTCAAAGCGAGGTAGGCAAGTTAGAGTGGGTGTATGCAAGTAATATAAGCACATGTATGAAAGAAACCATATATAATAGTGAGTGTCCATAAAGTTAAGTTAATTGATATATAAATTAATTAAAATCCATGTTGTTAAAGTTCAGATATTGACAGCAATGATTAAATAATACAAATTCATGGTCACCATTTGTGAAGAGGGTTAAATGTATGCGTGGGTGTATGTGTAGTGTGATATGAATAAATGTAAATATGTAGTGTATATATACGTGCATGTACATATATGCAACATAGGTAATTATGATATTATTTCATCCATTATCACAGCCCTGAATTTATATCTACTGAGGTGAATAAATCCACTGTTGAAATAAGTTTGTTCTATGAATTCATTATAGACCTCATATAACATTGTTGCATAGATCATTAAAAAATATTTTAAGTTTTACTAGTGAACTACCCCACTACCCCAGCGTCTCACGGGTAGATCATCATCGTGGGTAGGAAACCCTCATACCAATTATTATTCATGGTCGGCGTAATATGTTTTTCTCTTTCATTCTTCTATATTCTAGTCTCACGGGTAGATAGTTGCAATTATTTTAGGAATCCTTATTTTTTTTTAATAAAATACAACCATATTTTTATGCAACTTAGAATGGCAAACAAGCTGACGGCCCACCTGATGGAAAGTGGTAACCTTCGCCTATAGACATGAGCAGTAGCATGGACACAACAGAGTATATTGTTTCACCAATGATACCCCCCATGCGTTACTATTGCTGAGGACTCGTGTCTTATTCCTCTGTACCGTGTAAATTCTCTGCCAATGTCCCTTTGCTGATAATAAATTGGTTAAAGAATTTTTAAAATCGGCTATGTATTTTTTTTAGTTTATGCATCAGGTATAAACAAAAAAGTTAATTCCTTCCCTTTGTAATATTTGTTTAAACTAAACGCATCTTAATATGTTCAGGTGAGACGAACAAGAGCGAGCGTGTGTCGTACCCGAAAGCTGGGTTGATCCTGCGCACCGCCACCATGAAGGACAGCTTCTCCAGCGACTCCTCGGCGCACGCGGGTAAATCCTGTTGCTTCTAGCATTTGTCCACTTTTTCTTTCTTTAAATTGTTAAGGTTTTATAGATGCGAAAATGAATCTCTATTTCCGCAACTGGTTGTTGTATTTTTAACCAATAAGATTTAAACTTTTTTTTTTAACTTTCTTACTCGATCATTTATACGGTAGTTAGTCAAATAAGCACATAAAAGGAAGAGATAGTGTAAATAGTAGTGCTTGGTTAACATTATTACTAATCAACATTATTTATCAGCCGTTAATTCTCGACTTCTGAACATAACCTCACCTCTATTGAGGTTTTTTTTTTTTTGGGTTAATTTACTTTTTTTTTTTTTATACAACTTAGAATGGCAAACAAGCTGACGGCCCACCTGATGGAAAGTGGTTACCGTCGCCTATAGACATGAGCAGTACCATGGACATAACAGAGTATACTGTTTCACCCATGATACCCCCATGCGTTGCCATTCCTGAGGACTCAAGTGTTATTCCTCTGAACCCAGTAAATTCACGCCATATCCAACCCTTCAAACCGAAACACAGCCATGCAAACACAACTGCTTCACGGTTGAAAGACGAATGGGACAGAGGTACCCAAGCAATCGACTTTTGTACAAAGTCTCCCTCTGGTAATAATAGCTCTAAATAGGTCGAGAACGCGCGACTTTTCTAGCTTAATTTATTCTTTTAGAATTCGTCACGATAGACCAAATGACCTGCTCCATCCGTACCTATTCCTTACTGGTGCCCCGCCAGCGTATACCGATAGCGCAAACATGGTTATCATTCCATTTTAAACAGTCTATTATTATAAATTTGAAAAATTGTAAAGATCTTTGTTTGTTACTCAATCACGCCTAAACGGCTGAACGGATTTGAATGAAACACACGTGTTAGATATTTATTTTAAATTATATTAATTTTATTAAACATCTTGTGTTAAAATATGTACCTACATTTATTAATAAAAATCAGGCTAACTACTTTAAATATAATATAACGTTAAAATTGTTATTATACCAAATTTGGTAATAAATTATTCTTGTAATGTATATAGAACACTAATTTATATTTTAATTTATTTTATAATTATTTATTATCATGATACTTAAACAAAAAGTAATAAAATTGTAAGAACACGCGGTCTCGCTGACTTGTTCACTCGAATTCGGCCGTGTAGATATAAAAGATTGTTATTTGGGTGGGGAGACACTTCTTGTTCAACCGTTGAACAGAGCGGATCTCCCTGACGTATCAAGAGTGAACAAGTATAGTGAACCACGTGGTCATTATATAAAATATATCACAATTATTGTTGATGGAAGTCCTAAAGAAGCTATATTTAAATAAGTGTCGATGGACTAACAGAAGTTGGGTATTTATGTTATATTATTTGTTATATATCAAGTACAAAGTAAAATAAATAAATATATGATTTAATAGTATGATATCTAAAGTAAATGAACTAAGTGAACTTGTGCTTTATTTCTATTTATTACTAAGAGGCTTACAACCTTTATATTGCTAAACAATATATTATATACATACATATATGTAAAGTTAGTATTACGTAGCCCACATATCATTTTATATATATATACTATATATATATATATATATATATATATATATATATATATATATATATATATATATATATATATATTTTATATATATATTTTATAAATAAATTGCCTTTTCTAATACATACACAGAAATGGATTGTATCCTAAATTAACTGTTACGATACTAACTTTGTATACTAATTTACGTGGGCAAAACCACAGGCAACAACTAGTAACAGGTACAAGTATGCGCAGGTCTGGCCCGCACCGACAGCGACCACAGCCTGGCGTCAGTGGAGGACGTGGTGACCACGTCCACGACGGAGCGCGGCGACGGGCGCACGGTCACCACCACCACCACCACGCGCCGCTCGCACCACGGCCAGGAGAAGAGCTTCCTCGACAGCAGCACCAAGGTCACCGGCGTGCAGGACATACTCACCAGGATGAAGAACGCCGATATTGGTATGTTTATTATCATCCTTGTTGCTATTTTATAGTCTGTATATCTATATATATATATATCTCTTTAAAAGGTCTGCAGTACACCTCACAGTGGATGCAGGTGGTTTAGGACCGTTCCTTATGATAGTCTAGAGGGGAGGCTTATGTCCAGTAGTGGACGGATGATGTCTGAAATGATGATTATGAATTAATAAATAAAATATGAAAGAAATAATAACTTTAACATGTGGAGATTTTGTATAAAAGTCATCTCGTTGGGTACCTCTTTCCCATTCTTGTTTCTGCCGCGAAATAGTTGTGTATGCATGTGTTTGAAGGGTAGGACATAGCAGTGAAGTTATAGGGCACAGAGGCATAACGCCTTAGTACCCTTTAATTTCCCTTTAAACCAAAAGTCAGTCTTGCAAGAATCGCTGCTTCACAGAAGGAATACAAGTGGAAGTAACCATAATTGGTTACTTCCACTTGTCATAAGTACTTTGTACATAAGCCATCTAATGATGGCTTATGTACAAAGCCCTTATCAAATTACCTGAGATAATCATATTAATAATTACATTAGATTACATACGAATAGATACATTGTGAGGGTACGTGTTGCAGTGATCCAGGAGGGCGACAGCACGGAGGACAGCGAGGCACGCGCGCTGCTCAACAAGTTCCTGGGCGCCACCGTGCTCATGGCCGGCATGCAGAACTACGTCACCGAGAAACCCGCCGGCAAGGTCACCGTCAGGCAGGTCAGTCCCAAATATTTATTTACACTTTATAGCGTCAGTTGTAAAAATAAGAAATACAATGAATTATTAATCCGAAGTGATACAAATGGCGGCCAAATCACGAAGGACAATCTCTTTCACACGACCTTTACGTAGAGTACATAAAGAAAAAATACAATAATTACCACAGATACGACATCGTAACCTTCGAGAAAAGAGCATATTCATTTTTAAAAAGCCTGCAGTACACCTGCAATTCCTCCAGTGTTGCGAGTGCTTATGGGCGGCGATAGACACTTACCATCAGGTGAGCCGCACGCTCGTATGCCTCCAATGTTAGAAATAACTGAACCTTACTCAAGCGCCATCTATTTACAGACTCTTAGTATTGGTAGTAAACATTTATTTATTCCTTAAGAGCTGGGCTCTTGTCGGTGAAAAAATAGTAAAGCCACCGCAGAGAGAGAGAGAGAAAATGCCACAATCCTTAATCTATGTATTTCACTCACCACGACTTACGAAGGGCACTGGAGAGCTGAGGGCCTACCATGAAATATTTTCCGAAATTTCGGAGCCAAACGAAACAGAAATTTGATGTAAAAATTACATAATACATGCCGTTTGGAAATATTAAAAATGTTAAAATATTGTTCCTTTTAACTTTTATGATAGGATGTATGACGAACGAAATGTTAAACTCCATTTATTGGTCCGGTTTTGGTATAAACAAAAACACGAAATTGAGTCCGAAATTTCGGAATTTCATTTCATGGTAGACCCACTGATAAAAATACTTACATCGGAAAGTCGTTAAGATAATAATAATAACCACCGAAATATTAAACTAATAATAAATAACGCTCACATAAATTGTTGCAATTTATCGTATTTTAAAAATGTTAAAAGTCAAAAATGCACGAATTCAGTAAATCATAATTATCTAACAAGTAACAACTGAAAAAAAGCAAATTTTCATGTACATCGGAGCGAACATTATCATGTTATGCAAATTTTTAAGTATCGAAAATCTAAATCTTTGAGATTTTTTTAAGCATTTTGTATTTAAAACACACACACACACACATAGTCAAATTTTATCAGCAAACTATATACATGTATCTACTTATGCATAAAAAAATATTTGTCCCAAGATTTTGTACCTAATTACACCAGTCGCTTCCTAAATCAGCACCCGGACACAAGAAGCGAGCCAAAATGCAACACCTCTGTATATTGTTCTCAGTTTAGAAACAACAATTAATTAATTCCAGTGTTCGCGGAGCTAGCATCCGTACAAATTTGTTACAAAAAAGGCCACCTAAAACTGTACTTTTATCCTCGCACTGGGATTCTAATACAACTACCAGATTTGTACCAAGAAGTAGAAGCAATTAAATCTCAAATACGGCATAACATGAAAGTTTTACAGAAGTTGTTATTTTTTAATGCACTTATGTGCATTGTAGTGTGTCCTTACAGCACCGATGGTGCCGTTCATGTCTTTGTGACAGTTATCACTTCCCATAAGGTTAACCGTTGGTTAAGGTTAGCTTGTTTGCTAGAAGTATTAAATAGACGTAGGTGGTAGAAACAGTGCTTGCTCCGTGCTTGAGAGAATGATTCTACCACTATTCAAATCACATCTATGGAATGAATTTACTCAATTTTAAGGTGGTTAATCCACTATTAGATAGAACGCTGGATTTCCAAGAAGGGTTGACGTCAATCTGGCGGCCGGTCATAAAACTAAAAGCCAACACCTTGGGTAATATAAAAATATATAAAGTCGACACCAAAATTAATATAATTGGGATAAGGGCAGGAAGATGACGATGACTGAATAAAACGCTGTCAGCGTATTGCTGGCCAAGTAATTTATTACAATGATATAGTTCTGTATAAAAAATAAAATTTGTTTACAAACTGGCTACAACGTTTTTAGTGTCGTTTGTGGGTTTCGTGACGCGGAGTCCTTTGTTTTTAAGTCCGTAATACGCAAATATCTAATGTTGCGTTTTCTCTTAATTTTTACAAATAAAAATCAACTGCCTTTCATCTTATAGTCAAATAACTAAATAAATACTTTTTGTTTTAGTTATTTTATATTAATTATACAAATATAGTAGTCCACTTGCGCGCGCTGTACACTAAGGAACAAACTGTACTTAAATCTTAAAAAAAATAACGTAGCTTAAAAAATAAATGCTGAATTATCAACCAGTGAGAACTTTGATATAGTAATGTTTAAATAAATATTATCTATACAAGAAAATACAACAAATGGCAGCAATCGTTTTAGCAACATCATGCTATTACATCGCAATACGTCCGAGTCTAGGAAACCGCTTAGTATCATGAAATGCGCCGGATTACTACATTTTTACATGTATACAACTAATTATACACCTCGACCTTATGAGATAGCCTGTTTTGCGCAGAAAGAATCTCACTTCCTACTTATCAACAAAGCGTACTGAACAAAGCCCACCGTACGCCGTAGAACGTGGGGTATTGCCGTTTAAAGGCAGGCGCGTGCGCCGCGGGAAGCGACGAAAATCGCCGGCAAAAATAACACGCGCACATTTCACTAGCCACCACCCCCTGAAAGACGTAAGTGGCCGTCGTGCGCAAACGAAAATACACTCTAGTCGTGGTACATACAGTGTACGAAATGAGAAAACTCGCGTGGCCACCTCTGGCCACTATATTTGGTGCGGTGACGTCAGGAACGACCGCGCGCGCAGTCCGTGCCGCAAGCCCGCGCTGTACGGTGCGCGCCAAAACATGACTTGATTTTTTTTGGAAAATAACCATTATTATGGTATAATATAAATTTAGATCTAAAGTAGATTATTAGTGCAGTACTATCCCTGTGTTTGTCCGGCCCGGATAGACGCAGCGCGCCGTACACTAACCCGTGATTGGATACCTCAGGATTGCGATTTTTTTACCCTTACCTATTTTAAGGTAAGTTTGTTGGCTTCATAGGCGAAGTTATTTTTTTCATATTGCTGCATGAAGATTATAAACACCTATTTATGACTCATTTATAATTAGTAGACTATATCTACTGTCTGCTTACATAAAAACAGATTTATTTTTGACTTTTCTCAATTTATGATGGTCTTATACATGCAAGTATGGAGTTTTAGTTACAGATTATTATTTCCTTATACGTATTATGAATCACATGCATCTTTTTCAGCTATTATCTAGTTTATACAAAGTGCTGAAGTTCAATTAAGTTTAACTAATAAGAGACGAGAATTAATGAGATCATTTACGTAAACTATAATCTCTCTTACCATTTAAGAGTTTCCTCTTGTTGGGACAACTAATTCATACATTCTCTTCCAGTCAGCTCTATTCTTTGACCTCCCTATACGACATGACACCTAGTTTTTCCTTTATCTGTCCCATGTAGCTATTTCTCGGTCTTCCTCTTCCTCTTTTAGCTTCTATTTTTTCTTCTGATATGCTCTTTAAAATATAACAATTTACCTTAATTAAATCTATGTCATTATTAATTAATCATTGATAAATATTCATTTATTATTATTTATTTATAAATATTTAAATCCAACTTTGTAAATAAGTCGTATCTCTCGTGTTTATTTATAATAACAGACCAAGTTAATTATACTATAATAAGTTTACCGAAATACCTGAGTTATTATCCGGTGACCTACACAAGGCCGTGTCGTTTGTCAAGCGTGACACCGTCTGTCAGCAGTCATATCGCGGCGGGATTCGAACGGCGGACTCTACGTATACCGACCAATGCATACCGTGTCGCATATTAAAAGATCGCGTTTATAATTTACCAGTGGCACAGTATGATATCGTGGTGATTTTATCGCCACGATATAATAGAATACCAAAATATACACTACTAACTTTTACACGTGACTTCATCCACGTGACCGGGATATATTATTTGACAGAGATGAATAGTGAGCTATGGCTTATTCTATCTTGAAATACGTGTATGCCAAATTTCATAAAAAAATTGTTGAGCCATTAAGACGGTAAAAATTAACAATTAAACTACTTCGTGGACCTCCAGAACGATATCGTGGGCATGTACGAGTATTGAAGAGTATCCCGTCGACTCACAATTTAATACATTTTGCTCTCCTTTTGATCGTGACGGTAAAATCGTATGCTATCTTACCGTATTACTATAATCTATTTCTCATTTTATTTAAATGACTTCATTGACCAAAATTAAATATGATACAAAAGACAGACTTGATGCTAGTAGCGTTCTCTACCAGTCAACTCCTGGGATGAACAGCGAATTACGAACGCGGTACTTCATTACTGAAATAGGTAAAGAAAATAACTAATAATGTATACCTATATACTAAATAAATAATATATACATAAATAACATAAAATGATGATTATAATGTAGATAGATAGATACTCTTTATTGTTTCCTCCAAAAGATTACAATAGTAGACTTATTATAAATATAAACAATTATAAGAAATAATCACAATGAGAAAACAATGGGCGACCTTATCGCTAAAAGCGACCTCTTCCAGGCAACCTTTGGATGGAGAGGAGTAACATACATACATAAATATACATACATATGGAATATAAGAAATATAAGGAATATATATATGCATTTATATATATATTGCCTGGAAGAGATCGCTCTTAGCGACAAGGTCGCCCATTGTTTTCTCATTGTGATTATTTCTTGTAATTATTTATATTTTATAATAAGTTGACTATTGTAACCTTTTGGAGGAAACAATAAAGAGTATCTATCTATCTATCTATATACAACTAGATAAATTTATATTATAAGTGTGAAAGTGAGTTTGTTACCTTATAGCGCCTGAACGGCTTTACCAATCACTATGAAACTTGGTATACACATACTACATAGGATGATAAAGTAAATAAGCTACTTTTTATCCCGATAAACGTAACCCGGTCACGCAAACATAGTCGCGGGTAAAAGCTAGTGAATCATAAAAGCGCACATGTCCGTCGCGACTGCGAGC